GTTACTACTAAGTTACTACTAAGTTAGTACTACTACCATACTTGGAGCCGAGTCTCCACCGAGGGACTGCTGTAGTAGTCCGAGCGTGTCAAGCGTGGCACAAGCGAGGCAGCTGCAGGTGTCACGTTCTTCGGCGTCTCCTGCTCCAGCCTGACAGTCGCCAAGCATTTTTTCTTGCAGGCTCATTTCCCCCCGAGCAAAGGCTCGCGCCTGTCTGGACCATGTCGAACGATGTTGGGCTTGATGGGCTTCAAGGTAGGTGTGCTCACCTCCTGAAGCCGAGACAGATGCGAGCAGGAGAGATTGATGTTCGTTCAACTCAGCCCAGAGTCGGCCGGCGCTGTCGGTGTTCCAGTGCCCCCTGTCGTACCATCCATCTGAGCAGGCGTCGGGGCCAGCGGTTGCGTTTCACGCGGTTTCCTGGCGCATGAACACAGTTCTGAATGAAATTGGAGCTTCGGAAGGCACAGTTGCGATGGCCTTAGGGGCGGCATCATGTCATCGGGAGTCCGGCGTGGGGATGGCGGAGCAGGCGATCGGGGCGACTTCATCGAAACACGCAGAAACGCCTGAAGAATGCCAGGCTCGTGTGCAGCTGCAGTTCCAGTCATGATGAGCGCTCGATGTCTTTTGGTCAGGCGTCGGAGGGAGATACTTCGGGGCCGCTTGTCGGCGTCTGCGGCCGGCTGCGCGGTGTTGAGCCATATGAGCGGAACTCATTCCTGACAGAACTTACGTACAGATTGTGGCAACAGCAGCATTTTCAACGGAAGAATGCAGTATCAAGCTCTTCCAAGCAGCACTGCCGAGGGTGGCAAGCTGAAGGCTCCGCTTCTCGGGGACCGCTCGGCGAAAGATCCCTGCAAGTTATCAGGCTTGGCTTCGCAGGTGGTTGTACCGAGAGTGCAAGGGCAGGCATCTGGATCCGAGGGAGTGTGGTCGCAATCAGGGGCATCTAACTCTGGCATCGCAGATGGGGCAGCCGCCTGCCTCTGAAGCTGAGCGAGAAGGAGTGGAGGGCTTCACCTCCAATTCGCAACTCTGCATACTTGCGGGCATGTCATCGGGCCAGTCGGCTGAGCACCGGACTCTAGCCGCCGATTCTGGCTGGGATTTCCAAAGGTAAGCTGAAGTGGCTTTGGAGGGAGTCTTGGGCATCGTCAAGCCCAATGGCCGTGGTGGAGCCTGGTTGGTCACCAGGCCGTTCAGCCCGTAAGGGTCCATCGGAGACATGGCGCCCATGGCGCCCATTTGCTGAGCTCCAGGCGTGCCGAAGAGGCTGCCGCCTGCCGGGGCTCCGAAGAGGCCGCCGCCCGTGTTTTGCCCAAAGAGGCCACCGCCGGAATTTGCACCAAAGAGCCCACCACCCGAGTTCGCTCCAAAGAGTCCTCCACCTGACCCCCCAAACAATCCACCGCCGGTGTTTCCGAAAAGGCCACCACCAGTGTTGGCACCGAAAAGGCCGCCTTGTGAGCTTGCACCGAAGAGCCCACCGCCGCTGCTCTTGGCACCGAACAGCCCCCCACCCCCACTATTGCCGAAGAGTCCACCACCGCCTGTATTTCCAAACAACCCACCGCCCGTGTTTCCAAACAGGCCTCCGCCAGTGTTGCCGAAAAGACCACCTCCTGTGTTGGCTCCGAACATGCCACCACCACTGCTCTGGCCGAAAAGGCCACCTCCGGTGTTACCAAAGAGGCCGCCTCCGGTGTTCTGCCCGAAAAGGCCACCTCCAGTGTTCTGGCCAAACAAGCCTCCGCCTGTGTTTTGGCCGAACATGCCCCCGCCAGTGTTGCCGCCGAAAAGTCCTCCTCCGCCTGGGTTCCCAAATAAGCCTCCTCCAGTGTTGCCGCCTCCGAAGAGGCCGCCTCCGCCGCCTCAGACTTGCTCACTTTTAATTGACATTGAGTGCGGCCCGGTCTACACATGACAACGCGATGCACGCTGGCACATGCAAATAACTGAGCATCCGACTGTTGCCACCAAACAGCCCTCCACCAGTATTCGCCCCGAAGAGTCCACCGCCGCTGCTGGGTTTGCCGAACAAGCCACCACCAGAATTTGCACCGAACAGCCCGCCACCTGTGTTGCCACCGCCGAACAAACCTCCACCGGCGCTCTGTCCAAACATCCCACCGCCTGTGTTCTGCCCGAACAAGCCGCCGCCAGTGTTCTGGCCAAAGAGGCCACCACCTGTGTTTTGTCCGAACATACCGCCACCTGTGTTCTGGCCGAACAAACCACCGCCGGTGTTTTGACCGAAGAGGCCACCCCCAGTGTTGGCACCAAACAATCCTCCTCCTCCGCTTGACTGCCCGAACAAGCCACCACCGGTGTTCTGACCAAAGAGTCCTCCACCGGTGTTTTGTCCGAACATGCCGCCAGTGTTGCCTCCAAACATGCCTCCCCCGGTGTTGGCGCCAAACAAGCCTCCACCGCTGTTCTGCCCAAACAAACCACCACCTGTATTCTGGCCAAATAGTCCGCCGCCGCCCGTATTCTGCCCGAAGAGCCCGCCTCGGGAACTCCGACACTCACAGAGCAGCTCGAAGTAGCTCCGAGCAAAAACTAACTCTTGCATAAAACATAAGATATGCTGATAGCTGGAACCAATGCACCTCCGGTGTTCTGCCCGAACATACCGCCGCCAGACGAAGCACCGAAGGGGCTTGTAGTCCCACCACCCAGGCCACCAGGGGCAGGGGCGCCTGAGCTCAGATCCGCACACCAAGGCCCCTGCTACTGCTACTGATGCTGGCACATTCCCCACATCAGAGTAGTTCCTCATATGCGCCCCCACAACCTGGGTCTTGAACCCCTCTGTGCATGCCTGGTGTTCGCTTGTTTTGGCTGGAATGTTCTCAGCGGCTGACAGAAGGGTAACAACGGCTTGCATGTGCTCACGGCTTGAAAAGAGACACTGCTCCCGGAAGGCTGCCTATCGTCAGTATCCTTGTGCATCAAGCATTTGCCGAACAGCAACTGCAGCTTTACAAAATGCGATGCTGCTGGGCAGCGGAGCAGTTTCTATCCAGATATTCCAGTCGCTGTGCAAACGACCCATAATTTAAGTCCTGCTCTGTAACGGTACAGCAACCTGACATGGCCACAGCCGATAAGCGCGACTGGAGCCCCAGGTTTCTCCCCTCTGCCCTGCTGCCTTGGCCAGCTTGAAGGCGATTAGCTTGGTAGTCCTCCATGCGCAGCCTTGAGTCGGCAACCGTTCTCTGGCAAGTGCGATGAGGAGAAGGGATGCACAAAGCTTCGGAGCTGCTGATGGTAACTCTGAGGATGCGGCTCCTCGAAGGATTTGTTTTTATAGCAGTCCATGACACCGAGATGGGCATACTTGAGCTTCGTTTCCTGGTCGACGATCTCTTGCATCTTGGTGGTCGTGCCAGAAACTGCACCTCCAAACCCTCCTCCTCCTCCAAACAAGCCACCTTGGGCGGGCTGTCCAAATAGCCCGCCGCCAGTGTTCGGTTGTCCAAACATGCCGCCACCAGAACTCTGTCCGAACATCCCTCCTGCTTGCGGCTGACCTGGCTGGCCAAACATGCCTCCACCGGAAGACTGCCCAAAGCCGCCGCCGCCGCCAAAGAGGCCACCTCCAGAGGAGGGCTGGCCAAAAAGGCCGCCCCCACTGCTTTGCTGCCCGAAGAGACCACCTCCCTGCGACTGGCCAAAGCCAAAGCCACCGCCGGAGTTGCCAAATAGCCCTCCAGAGTTTGGCTGACCAAATAACCCTCCGCCAGAATTCTGGCCGCCAAAGGGGCTCGCTCCTCCTGGGGCAGCGCCACCAAACAAGCCGCCACCAGTGTTCGGCTGTCCGAACATTCCTCCTCCACTGTTCTGCCCGAAAAGGCCACCGCCAGTATTTTGGCCGAACATGCCACCACCAGTGTTTGCGCCTTTGTTGGGGTTATCATGGGTGAGCCTCTGGTGTGGCTCATGTCAAGTACATGGTGACTACAAGCAGTGTCTGCCCGCACCTGACAAACCTCATCCCTGACAAATTGCGCCAGGCCGCCAAACAGGCCACCACCCGTGTTGGCCCCAAAGCCGCCAAAGCCACCCTGGGGTTGCCCGAACATCGCCAAGGTAGCCTCAACAAGCTCAAGCCAACAGAGGGTAGCTAAACATGCCTTCTCAATGCATGTGCTGGGCTGGGCACCCGGCGCGAATCGGTTGCGAGCAGGCCCGGATTGGATATGACAGCGCAAGGGTCTTCTAGCTGCTGGAGTCTGCTGGCTCAGGTTGGGGTTTAGGACTCAGAATCGGGCCTGGTGCCTAGAATTCAACGTTTGGCTGCGTGTGGGCGCGGCACCCACCACGATTGGGCTTGCTAACGTCTTGAGGTGCTTGCATGGGCTCCATCATAACATTCCTGGTCCTTGAGCTTTGATTCTGGGTCGGAAAAGGTTGCGTGCATTCGCCCAACCCACTGCGATGCGAGGCGCGGCTCTCAAAAGCGGCACCTGTGCAGACAAGTCGAGTCCTTTGAAAAGCAAGGCGCCATCCACCTGCACCAACAGTCAGCACAAGGAGGCGCTTGGACTGAGCAACCTCAAAGAGACTCGTGCACCGTGCATCATCGTCGCCTCACCACCAATCTGGGCTAGCGCTCGCAGGAAGGCGCCCTCCGTCACCACCTGATGACATTCACAGATATCCGGAGAATGCACGAAGCTACTACCTGGACGTGAACCAACCGTGCCCTCTGCTGGAGGATGAGGAGGCTGCCCCAAGTCCTTCTGAGTCGATGAGGCGCCAAGTGTCCTCGAAACCTTGTTTGGGCTTAACTCGACGAAGAAAGTACGAAACAAGCACGGACCGAATTTCAGGATCCAGCTCAGGCTTGCTGCAGCCACTGCCTCGCAACAAGGTCTGTACGACATGGAGCGCACCGAAACCGAGACGTGCAGGCAAACCCTGATGTGTCGACTTTTCTCCCCACAGATATGCACTCCCCAGCATGCTCTGAAGGACCGTGCGGCGCTCTCCGCTGCCTTGCCCATGACGAATCGGCGAATCGTGCCGCTCAGCCATGCCACCGCATACGACAAACGGAAATGTCTTTGCCGCTTCTCTGCGGCCAGGACAGTTGGCTCCTCCTACTGAGTCTTCTGCAGACTCGCGCTGCTGACACTTCCGGTAGCGTGGCCTTCCACCCGCAAAAAACCTTCCTCCGGATAGTTCTAACATGAACCCTAGACAGTAACTGAGTTTCCCAGCTCGCAGGGCCAGAGAAGTGCTCTTGCTACCGCATGCAACATCGCACAAACCTAAATACCGCTCCTGCAGGGCGAAGTCTTTCCAACAGCCTATGGCGGTGCTAGCAAGCAATCCCGGATGCCGAGTACTGCCGGCAAAATGTCCGAAAACACCCAAAGATGCACCAGGAACAATAACAAGAATAGGAGCGGAAACAGCGAGTGCAGTCCAAAATGACTTGCATTTCGCTGCTTCATAACTTGGGAGAGTTGACTCTTCAGGTCATCAGCTTCCTGATGCTTGAAGTCTAACATGCTTTGCTTCGCATTCAGCTGCAGTTGCTGCAACTTCACCTGCCCAGGTTTAACTGGAGGCAGGTTGGGGCATGATTTCGGCAACTCCCTCCTGCCAAGCCCCTCGTTGAAACGAGACACTTGGCTCTGCCAGTCTTCGCCTCAAGCCTGCCTTGTTTAGAACATTCACCTTGAACTTTGAACATTCTTTGGCCTCAAAGCTCCAAAGCCTTTGCATCCAGGACTCTGTTACAAAACCTAGACCCCGAAACCGCACCAGCCTTCTCCTCAAACTTGCTGTTTTGGCCGTTCAGCTTCTCCACGATCGCCTTGAGCTCGGAAACTTCCTTGTCCTTCGCCTGCAGGATGCAGCACGCCTGCTCCAGTTGCACTTTCAGGTCCTTGCAGCATGTCGAGGCAAAGGTAGACAACATGAGCCCATGGGCGGGGATTGCTCTGAATCATAAGCCCTATACTGTAGGGCGTTTCTCTCCTTTCCACCAGCCAATGAAGGCCTAACTGGCCTAACCATAAAACCACTCCCGGTGGGGCCCACGTCCACAACTGTTCGGAAGAGCATCCGAAGCCAAAGGCCGGGCAAATCTCTCTTCGTCGGTCGTGCTTGCTCAATGGTTGCTACGGCGGTGAAAGCGAAGATAAGGGAGAGCTTTGATGAGATGTGTTGAATCAATCGTTCCTGCACGTAACTTGCCCGGTCGTTTGGTTTTTTTGCTGGGTATCGGTACACACGAGTGTCTTTACGACAGTGGCAGGAGCAGACTCTACGACGCAGGTACCGCCTGCTACAACATGCACTCAAAATACTCAGGGTGGAAACCTTGTTTGATGATGCCGCGACCTGCGAGCTCGGCTTCGAAAAACGGGAGACGCAACGTCACAGCGACTTCAAAGGCCCCCGAGCAAAGAGCACAGGGACAAGGGGCAGGGCATCGACCCCAGCACCAAATCGTGGGACCAGACAGCGAAGGCTTGCAGCAAACATCCAGCCACACAATTGTGTTCGCATACCGCCAAGCCTGCCTACGCAAGCAGAAAGGAAAGAACACGTCGTAACTACGGAGAGCAATGCCGAATTGCCAGCGCTTTCCGACAAGTGTTGATTGTTGCCCATGCGGCTGGGCTCGAGTTTGCATGAATCAAGAAACGTTTTAAAATATATAAAAAGGACAGCTTGCGCATTGCCGCCGGGATGCCTGGCAGCGTCGCAGGTTTCTAGAGCAACGGGCGTCATGCGCATGCCGCTCGTCGTAGCGGCCGGTCCAGTAGCAGCCGACGTTCATGCAGCGCACGTGCAGCTCGTTCAGCAAGGAGCTCACGACAAGGCTGGGCCTCGGAGTTCGAGCGACTTGCACTGAAAGGCGACCAGCCGGCATCGATAGCTGAGCTCAAAGACTGGAGCTTCTTCCCCATGGGCGTGCGGCACGTGGGACACTGCGAAGCCTGGCGAGAAGAGAACGACTGGCGACTGGCCCCACTCTGCAGGGGCCCTGGGCCTCACTCATGGCCAGGGCCTTCTCAATGCAATGTCGACAAAACACCTCGTCGCAATGGCACTTTGAGGCTTATCGGGGGTGCTTTCGGGATACTTTGAACAGGAAATGCAGGTCCCCAGGCTTAAAGTGCCAGCATCACGGGAAGGTACGGATAGACAGGGAGGCTGGGAAATCAAACTATGCTGTGTTCATGCTCCCATGCCTGCTGGCAGGTGCCACAAGCGACGGGCTGCGCAAACCTGAGCCGGGTGTGGTTGAGAATGCGGGCAAGACCGCCCATCGTGTTCCTTCCAAGACAGAAGCATCCCCAAGACGGACCAAAGCCGAAGTCAAGATCCCTCATGCGGCTCATGCGTGATGTGGCCGAGAAACACGTCTGTACATATCGGGCAGCGCAGAATGGGCGAGACGGAAGCAGGATGAACGAGCTCGTCGTCGGCAAGGCCCATCCTGCACGCACGGAAATGCTTCTGCAATGACGACCCGACAGACGCTTCGTAGCAGACAACTCTGATATTCGCGACTCCTCTTCCTCTGCTGGTGCCAGACTTCGTGGCACCGCAACGCAGGGGATCGACGAAACTAACAGGCCCAGTAGCCTAGCAAGCTATTTAGTAGTGACACAGGATAGGACAGGTCGGATAGGACTTCCAGAACGACTCGATTGATCAGCATGTCGTGCTCCCGGTCTTCACTTCCCAGAAGAATCGCTTGTGTCCACTATTGCCCCACTTAGACTTCGTTTTCTACCGCACGTATGCAAACCGTCTGTGGCACACAGCTGCGGGCCATGCGAAAGCACAAGGCTGGCATGATGCGTCCACTGGCAGCACATGGCAGCACGGCACATGAGTGGTGCATTGTCTGGAAAGCCACCAGTTGTCCGAGCAGCCATGGACGCACCCGCGCTCAGGCCTGCGTGAATCTCGTCAGATTGGCTGATTCCTTCATTGTTGCACCGAGGTTGCAAAATGTGCATGTGCTTGTCATCACTCTGGGCAGTCCTGCGGCGCTAAGTCCTCGAAGACCAGGAAGTCCTTCCCGCAGGACAGAATGGGACCGACTGTAGCGGGCCCATGGTTCGTGCAGCAAGGCAGGTCAAGGAGGCCAACTTCTCCGAGTCCTGGGGCTTGGACTGACCACTTTCAGCCAAGCTTTGCCAGAAATCCTCGGCTCACGCACCGCAAAGCTTGACAAGCTTGATGACTCCCACAAATTCAGCACCGCCAAGGGGGTCCTTCACATCAATTCCATGGAATTCGCAGACATGCTCAACCTCCTCCCGGGCCACCTGGTGTTTTGACAAGGGCCTGAGGCCCAGGGCCAACTAGACGGCACACAGCGGCACAGCGCCTTCCCCGTGTGGCGATGGTCGATGTCCAAGATCCAGGCACGCAACAAGCTGCCCCACCGTTCGCTCAGAGTTTTGACCAAGAGTTCTTTGCCTCGGTCGGCGGGGATGGAAGCATCTTGCCCTGAAGGACCCGAACATTGCAAGGCCTGCTCCTACTCGGGCAAGCGTTCTAGCCATTTGGCAGCTGGTATCTTCGATCCCGCGCCCCCTAGAGCCGGAAGACCAGAAGCTCCTGCTGCCTACTTAGCTGATTGGCATTCTTGGCTCTTGGCCCTGGATTCGGGAGCACGGCGGGTCCTGCCACGGCGCCACCATTGTCAGAGAAGACTTCTTTTCGTGGCACGTCGGCTCCAGAATTCCCCGCATCTCCCCGGCCCGCTTCTGATCTTTTCTGCGCGACTGTCAGCTCATAGGAACGTTTCTGAAGCTCGGCCACATGGTGTGGCTACAGGCTAGTGGCTAGTGCACAAAACCGGCGAGCGATTGTGCACTTAATCATTAAAAGGGTACGAGGGAACCACATGCGCAGAGATCAGATTCCCGGGTCTGTGTGCGATCAACATCCCCGACATGGCCTCATAGCTCATAACTAACCCGATGCTATAAGCACAAGAACCGGCAAGCTCAACAGAATGGAAAACCTGCGGCCGACATGGCCGGCTCTGATGGCCCTGCCAGATGCCCTCACTTCTGTGCCTTCAAAGAGTTCAGCTCAGCCTTGAGTTGCTCGATCTCCCTCTGCTGGTTGTCGATCTGTCGCTCATCCTGCCGCTGCTGGTTCTCCAGCATTCGATCGGTCGTGCTGGGCCCGCTGTGGTGGCCGCCATACATGGCATTGTTGATGGCACCACCCACCACACTTCCCACGATGACGTCACCAACCGTTGGGGGAGGCGCCACGACAACCGGGACGGGAGCGACGCCCATCCCAAAGCCGACTGATGGTGCTGCCATCACTGGCGGGGGAGCCACGACTGTGGTCTTGTTGATGACTGTGGTATTGCTGCTGCTGGCAGCAGCTGGGGCTCGCGGAGGTGCACGGGGTGGTGCACGGCGCACAGCACCGGCAGAGCCACCAATGCGTCCACCAGACCGAGCAGCCTGTGCCTCCTGGACAGGCAGCCAGGCGAAGGCGACCGCCACGAGCATTGCAAGCAAAGCACTACCAAAGCGTGTAGGCAAGGCTGCTTGCTCCAGCTTTTCTGGAGCCTGCGTATCCGTGCTCACGGCTTCCTGGTCTCCGTTTGTTGCTCGGAGGGCTGTGCTTCGGCGACCTGGCAGCGGGCCGACAAAGGAAAGCGCGGCACAGCCCGCAAGCAGGAACAATGATGCGACGAAACGGGCCATGATGCGAGGCTGTGAACCCCTTCCTTCTGCGGAACTCGAGGTAAAACGGCTGAGGCCATGTCGCTGCTGCAGCATGTGGCGTTCCACGCGCCGAACATGAGCTACTCAACATGCCGACATGCAAGTTCGTTTGCATTTTAAGGACAGCACAGGACTCTAGTTCAGGTGAGAGAAGATGAGGACACCCGAGGAGAACCAAAACAAACGAAAATACATTCGGACCGGGCTTATCTTCTCAGTGTTCTTTACACACTTCCCCGTATTGTCCCAATCCTCGGGAGCATGGCGAGGAGTGGAAGTCCAAGCAACAGAGTGCAACAAATACCCCCAGCCGAAAAATGAGGAAGGCAGTTTTGAGCTGTCGGGGAGTAAAAAGCCCCCTGGTTTGAAGAGAACGTTTGCCCTCCTCAGCTGCCAATATTGCCTATCGGTAGTTGGGATGGAAGCGGCAGTTGCTCCATTTGCAAGCAGAAGCTGCATAGCAGGAGTCCTGGACATCCAAAGTCAAGCCCTCAGCTTCCATCCTCAGCTCTCGCAAGACACATGCAATGCACATTGGGACGTGCGTGCTGCATGAACGCACGAACCTCCACAATGCCCACAGGTGTGCATCGAGGCGGCGTGAATGACACAGAGACGGCGCGAGCAGCATAAAGAGACATAAAGATGGAGACATACATCTATACTTTCACGCCCGGTTATAGAGATGTACACATAGGCTGCATCGGTATGCACCTGTCGAAATTGACCGGAAGTAAGTTGGAGATGCAATCAAAACATGTCCCAGCTGCCACGATGAGGGTTCCCAGCATCATCTCGTTGAAGAGAGCTAGGCGGGGTCTGCATGGCCGGACGTGCCTAAACCAGAAACCCCGAAGGACCGGACTCAACGGTGGAATCTAAGAGACTACTGGGTGTGCTGTGCTAAGGCATGCTACGGCCAATGTCCTCCTCCCAAAGATAGGCTAGACCTCGTAACACCTCCGGCTCTGGGCTCTGATCTTTCGGACACCTTTGAAAGAGGTAGTGGCGTGGATTAGGCTCAAATCCCTTCAGACATGAACACTGCTTTTTGAAGAAACCTGCATTTCGAAGTCTGCTCCAGATTTACATGCTGCAGTCGCTGAGATGTAAGGCGGCAAAGGAGGATACGCCTGTTGCCTACTTCGTTGATTCTGCCGCGGCACAATTCACAGGAATGCGGCAAGATTTATGCAGACACCCTCCGGGTAAAGCAGCACACCACACGGAACAGAGAGTCTCTTTTCAAGCTCTTGAAGCTGAACTGCTCTTCGCAGGACAGATCGCTAATCAGGAGGGGTGAGACCGGAGGTGGAGCCCATCTATTCAGTGGAAACATTCACCTGCCCTGCGGTCTCCTCTTGGGACGAGACGGCATCAGGGCAACTTCTGGCATTCCAGGGACAATGCAAAAGCTTCAAGCAACAAACTGCCATAATTCCGCGACAGAGCGCGGCAGACAGGGATTCTGTCCCCGTTTGTCGGTTTCCACCGCTACTGTCTGCTACTATATAAGATGTTCTAGAACTAAAATCGCGTCATCTCCACCTTGATGGAAACGGACTGCTTGGATCTCAACAGGCTTGAGACTTGGGATCTCTGAGGCCTCCACGCTGGCCTCCTTCGGCCAAGCATAGCCCTGCGCTGCCTCCATGCACTCACACGTCCAAATGAAAGCCCTCCATCGTAAACACCAATACACTCGACAAGCAGGAGCATCAGCAGCATCCCTTCTCAAAGGCCAGCACAGCGACGTGGGCAAACTAGCACCTGCGCCGATGCTGGAGATTGCGGCTTGTCGGTGAAGAAACCGAAAACCTGAGGCGTTGCAACGCTTAGAAAGCGTTCTACCCGAAAGAGTATGCAAGCTGCTCGAGGCAGCGACCGAAGTTTTCACGTTGTCGAAGAAGTCATAGAGAGCCTGGCCTCCATCATAGCCGCTGTCGGTGTTGTCCAGATAACTTAGCCCGCGTGCTGGCAGACATCACAGCCTTCGTGCTCTCGCACTTCAATTGCTTGTCTTTCTGGGGCACGTCACACAGTTCATCATGCAAGCTCTCTAGGCACGCTGCTCGAGGGTGTTGGCACCAGTTGAGGCCAAGGTGTTGATCCAAAGTGGGAGCCTGGCAACACCTGCGGGAAAGCCGTGCAGCTCAGGATACAAGAATTGGCCGGTGCTGACGTCGGGCTGGTTTGGAGCTCAAGAATGAAAATCGGGCAGCTTGCAACCACCTCTACGGGTGAGCAAGCACGAAAACTCGAGGTAAATACCGCAAATTTCAGACAGTGCAGCAACGCCTCCAACAAGGATTGCAGGTACAAAACCAAAAAACAGCCAGCCAACAACTACAAGTTGAATCAGGATTGGTTGAACGCTGAAAATCTGCACACCTGCTGGAGGGATCAGCTTGCTATTCTCTAACTTGACGCAAGCTGCCAAAGAAATGTTGCAGCTTGCGTGTGTTCGCAGAAACTCAACTTCGTCTCTGAAGAAGAGCTCGCGACTGCCTGCCGCGTCTCGGCAGAATGCCGGCACGACGCAACAACCACAGCTTGGCAGCAACTTCTCAATATTGCACAGCCCATAAAATACGTCTTGCCCGTGCAGCATGCAGGTCGAATTAAGACGAACAAATCTAATCCGTCTTTCGCATTTCGACTAGATCACTTGTTGGCATCGCATTGCATGCTCCTGCCGTACACCCGAAAACATCCCATGTAGAGTATAGAGTTTTAGACATCTAGCTTGACCATCACTGGAAAATTATGTCTGCTTCGACATGCTGGGACCTCTCGTGTTTCAACCTAAGCCGTCGGGCGGAGCTCCTCATCCGCTCGTCATCTGGAAGGGCCCCGCGAGACCCAAGTTAGGCAGACGGCCATCCTCCCACTGCACACAATCGCTTCAGCACGGCAGCTGAAATGCAGCACGTGCCTCCGTCTTTGCTAATTTCCTCCAGGGCTGTGCGCCCTCGCTGGCATCGTACTCCTTCCATGGATTCGCAAGACCAGTATCAGATCAAGGCTTGAATGCACTCCAGTCCTGATAGATCCACCGTCTCACCAGTGAATACAAAGGGGTGGCATTACCCTCCTCTCAGCGTCATCAAGAAACTGAATCTCAGTGTCGGCTGCAAGTGACGTGCACCGTGCGCCAGCATAAAACCCGTCCCACTAAGGTCCGAAACGAAAGGATCCCAAGGCCCTGCCCTCCTTGCAAAGGTCATGATACTCCGAGACTTCGTCCATCGTGCAGAACTTCACCACCTCGCAGAAGGAGCACGGAATGAGCACTTCTGAACACAAGCTTCCAAGGCTCCAAGCCTCGCCCTGCGAGAGGTGCAGCAGATGGCTGGCCCAGCCCTCCAAGTGATCGAAAATGTGGGTGCCTCTTTTTGGAGAGGGGCAAGCACTCCATGAAAGAGTGCTTCATAAGACGCATCGCCACCAAGGAGCAGTAGAAGATCGTCGCACCGCGCACTTCACATTCTGCTCGAAGGAAGTTAAGGATGCCCTCTCGGGCGAAAAGATCTAGATCGGATGTGATCTCATCCATGAGGTACACCTGACATTCTGTCCGCCTACCCAATGCCTCTGAAGGCAAAAACCATCAGCTCCATGCTCACAAGCTGGCAAGTCGAGTTCCAAAGTTTGTCTGAACGCATGCTTTCCACAGCCAAAGTTGCAGATCGAGGAGTTGAGAGGCATTCCAAAAGCTGACAGCGACGGCGCATGCCTCTAGCTCGCCAAACTGCCTATGGAACGACGGCAATGCGGAGGAATCTGCACTTGTCTTCCAAGGCACCATCGGAGACCTCGTTGATTTTCCACTCCATGTCCACCTGAACCATGTGGTTTGTTTTTTTTTGAAGTGAGGCACTTCACGGAACCCCATGCGGATGCAAAGCTTCAGCCTGCAGCACTTTGGCCAGGTGCTGGGACCGCTCGGACTTGGCGATGTCTCCCAACAAAGCTCCTACCGTCAGGTTCCTTGGTTTGGTCACGAAATAAGGATAAAAAAAGGGTTATGCTGACAATTGCGCTTTCTTTCACATGCCGATTCGTGGATAAATCGCGGACACCCCCAAGGCAATCTCGAAACAAAGCCGCGACAGGACATGGCACATGTCCAGCAGAGAGGGGGCAAGCGGCAAGCGTGTGCAGTGCATCAATCATCCTCGACATCATGCGATGTCACCATGAACGGAGTTAAATTCAAGCGCCACCATCTAGGCAGACATTGACATGGAGATGGCACACATGGTCCCCGTCATCGGGCTTGCATCTCCCGAAACACGGCACCATGCTCAAGCACAGCACGGTTGCTCCCGACCGCTTGCCGAAACGGTTTGCGGAAACTGGCGCACGGCAACTCAACGGCCCCAAGGTCGCGGAGTACTGCCAGGCTCTCATTGCATGTTCGGCAAGGCTTCAATTTGACATAATTTGACGATCCCACTATACTGTATCCCACCCACACTGCCCAACAGGAGCCCCCCACGACTTTACAAGCAAGTTCCCTTGTCGGGGTAGAGGAGCGATGTCACGAACACAAGTTTCACTGCTCCGTTCGCCTAGCGACCAGTCCACCGACTCATCCGTTGGTCGAGACAGTCTGACGGGTGATGACTCATGACATGCATAGCCAGAAGGGGGAACACACTGCAGCACGGATGGCCACACAGATATGCAGGTGAAATGAAGGCTCCCGCTGGAGCAAAGCTTTGTCAAAACACAAACCGTTGTCCTTCTGAACACGGCACAGAGCAGTTTGCAAGCCGTGCTTCATAAAGAATTTCGTCCTCCACCAGTCACCGCCTGTGATGGGTAACACGTCTTGCGCATGGGCCGACTCAACAACAGACAGCTGTTTCTCAGTCCGGCACAGCATGATAAGTTTGGTGCTGCCAAGCAACAGTACATGATGTGCTGCGAGACACCACCATCATGGAAACAGTCTTTCTTCATGACACTCGCATGGCCACGTGGGATCATGCGCTTGCCGCCTTAACAACAGTCAGCGCAGCGAGACAGCAGCATGTTTCTCTGCGTATAAAATGCGACTAGGCCTGACTAGGCACCCAGAATTGAGAGCAAGGTGGACTTGCCCGCGCCGTTTGCCCCGACAACGAGGATCCGTGCACCACGGCCGAAGTGAAAGGACACGTTCTTGAGCTGAGGACTGCCGCCAGCCTGAAAGCATGTGGACTGCTGCATGCCGCAAGGCTTAAATGATCCGCTTTCATTGCAGTCAGGGTGCATACGAGTAGGTGAGATTCTTTGTTTCAAGGACCGGCGCATCAACTTCCTCCACGTTCGGTCCGGTCGTGGAGCAGTCCTTCGACCAGCAGTTTCAGAAACGCGGAGGTTATGACATCCGTTTACACGCCAGGTGAAGTCCTGCTGCGCTCCACCGTAGCTGCGAGAAATCCAGTCCTTCCTGGCTACAGAATTGTGGGTTGACGTCCTACGACATGCGTCGTGTCAGGCATGGCTTTCTTCTTGGTCATCGCTTGCAAATCTGCCGCCCAAGCTTCATGAGGGCATACAGCGGGCATCGGGTACCCTGAGCCACCAAGGCATGGTACTCTTTCAATTCCTTGGCTCCCGGTCGTTCAATTCACGAAACGACTTCGAGCTGGGTGCTGTTCTAGTCAGGATGCCACCTACGAGAAGACTGGCTTGCTACGGTAGACCTCCTAAACACAACGATACTTTCGACCAGCACCCATGACATGAGCACTACTGATGCCGAGCTTCGGAAAGAGGGCAGCAACATTCGATCTTACCCTGCGCAAAATAGAGCACGTGAGTTGCCCACTCAGCCAAGTGGTCAAAGATATGCGTTGCGTAGAAGATGGTCCTTCCAGTTTCTGCAACAGTGTGCCTACGTGTAAGCCATGGGCACGATGTATGGGCCGCTTCTTCTCAAAAGCGAAGTGCGGCCAAGTCACGCTCCCTTCTCCTCAGACTCCCTGCGCAGGAATCTTAGCAAACCTTCACGGGCGAAGAGGTCCAGATCCTCGCAGCACACTCTAGAGACTCTAGAGTGATTCGGGATTCCGGTGGCATGCTGGCTTCAATCGGTGGAGCAACTGTCCGTTGTAATTTCGTCCAAGATGTAGACCTGTGCATCATCGACTGTGCATAACTCCAAGCATGGCTGTGAAACCGCTGCATGGCTCGGTGCCTTCTTCTCTTCGGCAAGGCATTCTAGCAGCTGGCACCTGGCAGAATCATGTAACATACTCTCCGCATACCCCAACGGGCCACTCACAAGACAGCTCCTGCGTCTTTGACCATCGCTGATGGCATTGATGTACCATGTGGTGTTAATCTGCCTCTGGCTCGCAGCAACATCCGTGCACCTACTAAGGCAAAACAAAGATGGAAGTCACCTCAGTTTGCTCCAGGTTACATAATGTCAATCAACTCCTGCACCCGTGGCGTGTTTAGAAGCTTCTCCCCAATGAGTTCGGCAACCGTGATGTTGAAGAAAAAATCCGTTCGCCACCAGTCGCCACCTTCAGCAATACGTATGGATCAAACTCCGGCCGCAGCACCATGCACACACCCGCTGGGTGCAGCACAATACATGCGCTCCAGATTCAGGGTAGAATCGTGGAACACAGGCTTTCCCAAGATTTTGCAGTCCTTAGTCATAAGCCAGAACCCGTCGGTTTCCGATTTCCAACCATTCGACTGAGGTAATGCGGACTCCGGATTGCAAACGACCTGCCCTCATATTCACTTTCGGTTTCACCTCACCTGCACCTTGCCTGGATTTGCGCATGACTTCTAGCTAATGATGATTCGTGCCGGTCCGAGCATGTGTACAAACAATGGTTCTTCACACAAGCGAAGCTTTTCCCACGTGCACCACACACACCTAGTCTAGATTCTAGATGTGTTGGATGAGCTCTTCGACCGAGACACACACGCTACATGTCAGTGCCACAGCTTGCATCCCCGAGATCACAGTCAACATGCCACATGGTCCACATGTGTTCGTTCCAAGACATTCCGGCGCTAGCCGGGAAGTCATGACCTGACACTGGCCCGTGTACGTCCGATGCTTGCCACAGAAACCTCAATAAAAGATCGAGCTCTAAACACAGAATCCAGATCGGCTCTAGACCACTCCAAGCGCCTGCACCACTCTAGCGGCACTCGAACACCACATCAAGCTTAATACAGAAGTCGACATTCCAAAACCAGAAAGGAAATCAAACAATACTGCGGTAGGGCGAAAGTTTGACCTATTCATTGTTTCGTCGACCACAGGCCCCCGTTCCCTCTTAGGCGGACCAGAGAACCCCAGCACGGACAGGCAGTGCTGCAACAAGGGATTGCAGAACACTTTTCCGAGCCCGCGGCACTCCGAGGGATCATCTTCTTGCCGCCCATGATCGAGAGAAGGGTAGACTTCCCAGCCCCGTTGCCTGCAGCGAGGGCGTGAAACACTCCGGGACCCGAAACTAGCGCCTTCCACAACAGTAACAACCGAAATTCCTGTTCTGAAACCCGCCAAATTGTTGTGCAACCATTCAAGAGCGACTTCCACATCCAGGGTCAGCAGGAGGCCTCCGACCACGAGCACTCGGCAGCCTTCTTCAAAGGCACAGCTCACATCAATGAGCTTCCTCGGGAAACGCAGCGACAAGTGCCTGCTGACTTTGAGTTCTCACAGTTCCTTAAAAGGGCCTAGAGCTGAAGACGAATGTTGGCAAAACTCGGTTCGCTGAGAGCTCTGTCGTGGATTGTCGCCCCTCCGCCGTAGCCTCAGCACCACCAGCGCGCTGCTTCCGCCCCCGAGCCACTCATATCGCTAAGCCAAGAAGCAATAGGATAAGTTCTCACATTGCAGAGCCTTTGTACCCTGGCAGCACTTGCCGGGTCACTCGCAGCTCTGCTCCCACACTTCGCTGAGCCTTGGAGTCGACCATCGTGACGTCAGAGGTAGGATATCCTGACTTGAAGGAGCCCATGAGACCTTGCACCGAAAGCTTCACATCCCACAGCTGCGACAAGATCCTCTGAAGCCGAGTGGCTCCGGGTATTTTTCTAGGGGATGGCAGAAACGCAAAAAGGCTCGAGCCCAACGGGTGCGATTCCCTCAAGCCTCAAGACTGTGTCTTTTCGAGGTGGGGCTGGCGAATCATGCTACGAAAAGACAGAGAAGGAGCGCTGAAAGCTGAGCTTGTTTTCTGAAGTCTCTATCACCTGGTTCGCAACCATGGCCAACGCAGGCTTCAGTCCGTCGCTGCTCAGGGCGGGCATGGAGAACTCAAGAGCACGTCCTCGCTTTGGCGAAAGCTGGGCCATCGCGGATGTCAACAAAATCAAGTCTGGTGTGCCGGCTCGTCGTAGTGCTTTCCCAAGTCTCCGAAACAGGCCCCATTCAAAGGCCCACTCCAGACAGCGTCGCCTCTTGTGGACTAAAGCGGCCCGAAGGAGCTTGAATGCTTGCTTCTATGTCCTTGTATAATATCTTGTTATCTCTTTTTTTGCCCTGTGCGGCGTATGGCAGCTGTGTGAAAACATGCCAGAGCACTGGATCCTATTGACAAAGATCTGACGGCGCATGACGGCCTGAAACTTCTAATCGAAACCTTGTAGCAACCTCATGGTTCGGACCGGATGTTAAAGAGCAGGTTCGCTCCGCTGACTGCTGAAGTGCTCTAGACGCCACTTCCTAGCTTCGGACTAAAGGGGTGTGTACTCGCCCGCCATCGGCTTCGACTTTTCTCCGGCAGGTAAAAGGCTTTGGAGGCTAACAGGTCACTTCGAGCTGACTTCGAGATGTTTCAGTGTTTTCAGATCAGGGCGATTGGGAATCGGAAACGCAGGGGGCGATAAGCAAATCGGTACTGCGAGATCTCTGCCGATATGGCCGTCTTCTCAGCCCAAGCTCGACGAACGGTACCTGCCTTCACGAAGCCATCCTTCCTCTTCACGATCTCAGACTCAGCAGCCTGGATCTTGGATGCCATCTCTGCGTTGAGCTTCACCTCATCTCATCATGGGACTGCTCATGGCAGCACACACGTCGTACTCGGCCTTCACTTCAGCGGCTTTCTTCTCGCGTGCCTCCGCGGCAGCCGTCAGCCTGAGCACTGCCGGCTTGCAGTCCGAAAGTCCGCGGCGGCCGGGGGGCGTTCGAAGGCTCTCTGCTCTTAGACTGCCAGCGAGTCTCTGGGTCTCAATGAGAGCCTCTGTCTTTGCTCGCGCATCTGCCAGCTCCTGACACTGACCACCACAAAGGAACCCGCAAGCAATGCATCACTGCCAGCACTAGTCCTGTGCAGCCTTCTCGCGGGCCTCCTTGATTGCGGCGGTGTATTGCACCTCTTCACGTCAGTCTTCACTCGACTGGGGTCTAGACTTTCCCGAGTCTGGATGCAGAACTGCGCCGTCGATGTTGGGTTGAGAGCACCATCTCTTGGCATGGTGCACTGAACCCTACAAGCCGGTACCCTGCACTCGACTTCCAGTGTGAGACGTCACAAGGAATGCCCGCCTGCATCTCATCAGCCTCTGCCAGCATGTCCGTGGCCTCCGACAGGGTCTGCAGGAGCTTGGCGTTGCGCTCTTCAACCTGTAGCTTTTAGCATAGTCTTTTCATGCATGTCTTCCCGGTTCTCCAGGAAGAGGACCATACCGTAATAACTTGCCTCTTGTCCGAATGCATGGGATACCAAGATTCCACAACCGCTGGCCTTGTTTGATCTTGCAAGTTGCCGGCTGTCAGGGCCCGATTCTGGTCAGAGTCTTCCCTGTCGTAACCCGCGACATTTGCTCGCACTGTCAAGTCACGAGACGTAAACCTACAACATGGTTTGCCTCGTGTTCCCTCTAGCAACTTGCACTTGATTCTTTGCTGGCCAGACGCTCGCATCTCTCAAAAAAGCGATTTTGGCTGTTATGTGCTGTAAAGAAAGCACACAACTGGACCTTGACGACCTGACTCCCGTGTTGTCACTGCCGTCAGGTCTTTCAAACGCCCAGTGCTTTCCACTGTCTTCCTACCAACGAAGTAAGAAAAGCTACGACCACACAAAATCAGAAACGCATAATGGTACAACAATCAGGGGATCACAAAAAAGAACTTCAAGAACATTACAACGGAGCCAAGCCAACAGCGAGCAGGAAGGACGCAAACAAGAGTCCAAAAGCAGTCCACCAAAACTCTGCTTGCGCCGAGCCTTTCTGTGTAAGTTTGCGAAAGTTGCGCTGCTGATTCCAATGTTGCTGGTTTCCTAGTTATGAGATCAGCAAGCAACTTCCGTATATCTTCACTGCGATGAATGCAGCATGTTCCGCTTCAACACAGCATGCAGCCCTGCTTGTAGAGCATTGCAGAGTAAAGCCATCGTCAATATCTGTTTGTCGATCAGGTTGAAGGGGTCTGAACAGGAGTCTGACGTTAAGCAAGGACGTTAGGGGCATGCACTCCCAGAGGCTTCTTAGAACATCTGATCTGTGCAAAGTTCCCTGGGGAAACATGAAAAAACGAAGTCTCAAATGTGTTGCATCGCGGCTGCACGCCAGGGAACCTCCTCGGACACTGGAGCATAGAAAAGCGCATTCAGCACCTTAGCTTCTTGTCAAATCTGCAGCTTTCGAATAGTCGCCGAGGAGTCCAAGGCACTGCCATCAAGGTGAGGAAGGACACCGCCACAAAGGGCAGCGTCAGTCCGAAGTCGAACATGCCTCTGAAGACGCCACCCAAGCTCTCTTCCCTCCCTTCCGGCACCTTTTTGAACCGCACCGGCTCGCCTCCCGCATAGGCCGGCATCGGGGCGGCTGCAAGCAAGGCCGCACTGCCAGCCACCAGAGCACTCGAAGGAGGGGCCTTGCACGGTCCCTACGGTCTCTCGACACGAAGCTGTCAGCCTCTGCCATTAGCACCGCCTGGTTGGTGGAGGTGCTGCGTGGGACCACGAAGCCGAGATCCATGCTCCACAAGAAGGCCAACCTGAAGACGGCAGGCGAACAAGCTCCTTCTGGAGCATTGCACCCAAGCACGACTATGACAAAAGTAACATACCGTGACCATTGAAGGCAGAGTGACAGGCCAGTTGCCAAGGTGGCCAACGCCAAGATGCTGCTTCGGGACTTGGCCTTGGTGACTTCAAAGTGCCGGGACACTGCTGCTCTGCTGCTCTGCATGCACTTCCTGGGACCAAAGCCATTCTCAAGCAGCGAGGAAAATCCCTTTGCGCCTATTCTGAGCAGCAAAGGCTGCGTTCCACAGGTTACGGGCAAACTGCAGGTGAAACCCACACAAGTCATGTTCGTCCGTGACCGCCCACACTTGGAACGACGCGGCTGAGACAGTATGCACTTACAACACTGCTACAGCCCCGAAGCAGAGCATGCAGAGGAGCAAAGGGCTGTGGCGAACCCAGACGGGCACAAAACCTGAGAACCACATGTCTGGCTTGTGCCGATGCTGCTCCCGCACAGAGACACAGGCATTAGTACGTTAGGGTGGCCACGCATCAGAGAAATGATGGCAGTTCTTGGTCAGAACCTCGGCACGGCACAAGCGAACTGCCTCATAAAGACTCTTTCTGTTGCCTACAAACCCACCTCTGCATGACACCTCTGTCCACACGGCACATCAGGCGACATTTCTGCACGTGGCTCGGGGAAACCAGACGGATCAAACATGAAACCCTGGTGGCGAGGATGTGCTCCAGCCTGGGGCACACACATGATAGTCGCGGCCTTTCCACTCTCTCTCCATTTCCTTCACTCTTCCACGAGCAGTCCCGTGTTCAAGAGTCGAAAGTCCAGGATGTCGTGACATGTCAAAAAGCCAGGCGTGTCACCTCCAGTATTTTGCGAACTTCTGTTGGCGAGAATCGAGTGTAACCTGCAGAAATGCTCGCCATCATCTTGCACAATCGCATGCTTCGTTATATGCGCTGAGGCTGCCACCCATTGAAAGCGTCTCTCGGAAGGCATGGTCTAAGTTTTTGCCAGGCTCGTTGCAAGTGATCCCGGGCCTCAGACAAACAGCAACTCCGAGACCCAAACCGGATGCTATATCAGACGATACTCTGAGAAACCTGCGCATACCTGTCAATGCACATGCCGAAGCTCCATTCCTTTCCATAGACCTGCTCAAGAGCCAGGACACTAGGACTTTACGCCAGTGATATCGCCCCTAGCTTCTCCCGAAGCCGAGATGACTTGTAGAGCTTCCATGCAGGGCCATGAAATTTGCGTCCGCTTCTATGTACAAGCCGCAGGCCCTCGCAAGTGAGTCAGGCTCTCGAATCCCCCGTCTTTGCAGCGACTCGACGGCCGCATCTACCCGGCCAAGCTCTGCAAGAGCCATGCCAGCGACGTTCAAACTTAGATCCACAAGTCCGGGGAGCTCTCCGAGGGAGACCAAGGCCTTCAAACTCCTTGCAAAGCCCTCAGCATCCCCCTCCAATCCATGTGTTGCCAGGAGCGGGCCGATAGCTGCCACTGCCAGGGCCGCACGATCACGATCGTCGGAGCACTCTCTAGGCGACTCAGAATAAGCGTCAATGAGTCTCCAACAAAGTTCCAACCGTCCAGAATGACAGAGCGACCAGCTCAGCATAGCCGCTTCGGTGTCCCGGAAGCTGGAGGCAACACTGCACGACAGTCTGACGGCTTGGTCCATCAGCGGACTCTGGCCCTCATCCAACGATGTAAGAAACCGCGCCATGGAAGCGAGACTCTGTGCGGAAAACTGTTCTGGGGAGCACTCGAGAAGCTGCTCAGAGTGCTTGCAGATCCTCCGGACGGTGCAGGCGCCATTGACTACGAGAACCACGAAGGCCCAAGAAATGCCGGCAAGGCATCGCACATCCATGCAGGGAACTGCTTCGCATCCAGCGTTGCATGGTGCCGCCAGTGGGGGCTTTCGGGACACATCAAACACCGCAAGCGTCCGAGCAACAGATGCTAGCTCTTGGGCTGCGAAACTCATACTCAACTGTTCGGCTGCACGGCCCAAGACTTCTGGGACGGCAAAGCCAAAGTGCCGCAGGGTGCCAGCCGCCCATCCAATGTTAGCTGTTTCTACCGGCCCGCATGTGTCGGCACAGGTCACGAAGGTTGCAGAAGTGGTCTCTGCAGCCAGCCTGCCACTGCACAGTGCCGTGCCAGGCCACCAGAAAATGCTTGCTAAGCTCTGGCCTTCCAATGGCTTCTGGATACCAACGAGTGCCGCATCATGAAACAACGAAGCCTTCTCAAGGACCGTGGCGGCTGATCTTCAAAGCATGTTGGAGGTCTCTTGAGGCCCAAACCGGTCAAGCTTCCGGCTAGCGGGATCCACAAGAGCGTGGATCATCGGCATGGCATGGGATTGCAATCTACCGGGTCACCAGAGCATGCTGGAGGGCTCCAGCGCATTGAGCTCCGTCGCTCGAAGGCAGCTCTCCCCGAAAAGGATGGCGGCTTCCGGCAGCTGGGCTACTGCGGCTTCCCAGATTCTGCTTGCAAGGTGCCGTGGTTGAAACGCTGCAGGACGTGCAGAGACCAGTGCCCTTAGCGCAGGCTTCTGAGATCCCTGAACTCACGAGACAGTACGTCTCCACAGCGTGTTGGCCGAGGCTTGGGAGTCTTTGTTGAGACCAACCCCAAGGGCTTCCGATGCCGACCTTTCGGCAAGCAGCTCCCTCCTAAGAAGCGGGGTGGCATAGGACCACAGCATGCCTGCCACCTCTCGTGCTTGAAGCTTCTCACACAGGTCCAGACGCTGGGAAACCTCAGAGACGGGGGCTGCCGACAGCCAACCGTCCTCGTGGAGCGTAGCGCTCAACCACCGAGTCGTGTTGGCCAAGTGCTGTCGCTCAGGTTCTGAAAGCCTGGAAAAGATCTGGCCTCTCGAGGACAGCGTAAAGAAGGCATCTCAAAGCGCCGATGTTCCAAGGTTCCAAACTCCGTTCGAAACCTCTTGCGGCTGTGGAATTCCCAGTTGCCGTCCTCGGGACCCCAAAGCCTCCAGCAGCCTCTGGTTCACGCAACCTGCCCGGCTGAGGCTCTGCCCTCTGTTCGATGCATCCTGAGGCCGGAACTCCGCCACTCTCTACACCTGAGCCGCAGCTGCTTCGAAAAGCCGAGAGCGAAAGCATCTTGGCTTGGCAGAGGCCCGCGATATCATGGCAAGGTCCCGCGGAGTCCGCTCCCCCGAGTCTCATTGGATGCCAGCTTCGCCGGCAGCGTTGAGCAGCGGCAGGTGAAGATCACCGCTGCTGGCTGACGATCAAGCTGTGGTTCTCAGCTTCTGCATGTTCCTGGGCTGTTTCGGTGCACTCCTACTTGCATTGAGCCTCAAACAAAAGCCGTCTTACAAAGGAAGCTGTAGGGCAGTTCCATGCCGAGCGGCATGCTTGGCACTCTGGTCACCGCATCGTCTGGATCAGCCGCCGGTGTGCCAGGTGCAAGAGGCACGACCGTGGAGGCAAGCCGATGCTAGCAACCATACGCGGGCAAGGCCGGGAAAGTCAATCGAAAGCGGTGTCTCACATGGCTCCTGCGGATCTGTCCTACCTACATGTCCCTGCTGGGGGTCTGAGCATGAACTGCTGCTGCCAAGAATGTCTAAAGCCATACATGCGGCAATCGATAGCAACTGTCTGCCCCACTGCTGCAGACTCGTCTTCATCTCGGGCTCCTTCGAGTCTAGAAGCCTCGACGCCAGTGTGAAAGGCCCCGTAGTTCTTTGTCAGCTGGTTGTGGAATCCTGGCATGCCGACAACCAGGTACCTTCTCAGCTGGAGTAGCTGCGGCCCTACGAACTCGACTGAAATATGAACCAAGCGTCTGGTCCAAACAGTCCTCGGCTTGCCAGACTGCAAGAACTTGGAGGCATAGCAGCTCAGGAAATCTTACAAGGTGGTGCGTTCGGGTCAGTTCTTCTGGAGACATCATGCGAAAGTGCAAAGGGTACTGTTGAGCTTGCATCTTGAGCTTGGTCGAAACCTGGTTGAGGCCATGGCTGTCCAAGATCGTATACTCGCACCTTACTGGCCACTGGTCGGTCTCCAAGCTTGCCACAGTCAGACTTCCCAGCGGAACAAGGCGCCAGCCAAGACCCGCTCCCGGTACACTCTCTGCACCCCGCCGGATACTGACCTCAGAAGGCCCAGCACAACACAGCACGGCAAAGCCCCACTGCGCTCGGTTCCACCCTGCCTCGGAGGCGCGCTGGACAAGACCTGCGGCGTTGGGCCTACGGGCCTCTGGCGGAAAGGGAGCTGCACTTGCCGAAAGCCTCCGTAAGGAAAGGATCCTCGGTTCCAGCAGGTCTGCCTGCTCACCGGCCCCGGTCTCTCAGAAAATCGGGCATTGCAAGAAAACGGCCCGCGCCTCTCGGCTCTACGGCCTGCAACATGTGAATCGCAAGACATATAAGGGCCGAAGTTTCACTGAATCTTTGCGATGCCGTGTTGCTGAACGGGCTGGAAAAGCGCAAACGCACGTGCCAGTTCAACTTCTGGGCACATGTGCCAGGCATCAAAACATGCATCAATTCTAAAAAACAATCATCGAATTACACATCCACAGCTGCCGTTCATGCACCTCCTTGGCTAAGCGATGTTGATAGATTGAACAGGGCAGGGGTTTTCCGTGAGAGCGACACATGCAGTCAAGCGACAGTGACTGAGCACGGCAGCAGGGAAAAGCTGATCAGGTGACAAGCCACGCCGGCCAAGCTGTCCAGCTATGGAGCTCAACATGCTGCCGAACTTTTGCCGGAACGTCTCCTTATTCTCGCAAGATCTCGCAAGTGTAAACACAACTGAGCCTTGCGAAGGATGTCCCCAACTCAGTTCAGGCAAATGGCGAATGACCGGATCAGGTCCGGAGCGTAAATCTGCTTGCAGGAGTGGGGGTCCAGTGCCAGAAGTACATCCTCCATACGACTTGCGAGCAACGGGGCCCTCGCAGCGTGTCCGAACGCGAGAACTTCAGTACCTTCCAGTAGCCAGTAGTCCTGAGGATCCACAGAGGCGAGCTCCACTCCGGCCGCAGCCAGAGAACCGGCGAGCTCTTCTGCTGACAGGGCCTGTTCTTCAGGCGCTGCAGCAGGTTGCAGATCAGGCGCAGCCCCAAAAGACAATGCAAAGCAATGGGCCTGGTTGGGCCGCAGCAGCGCGAAGCTCAGCACCTCTGGCAAGCTTGCAGGCACCAGTCGGGAGAGCCAGCGAAGTACTTCTCGCGTGGATAGTCTCTGAGGTCTTAGGTCTGTTGGGAGATGTTATCACTGGTTGCGGCACGCGGAAAGGCTCGGCTTGCTGTTCGCGAGGTGGCCATGCCCGCGTTGGCGGATCAGTGCAGCTGTGGAGCCACTTGCAAGTCCACACCGGCCACGAGACAAGATCGCAAAAGGCCGTCAAGATGGCTCTGGACGAGAGCATGTGCACGCCGCAACAGGGAGAGAAACCTCGATTTTAAAGCAAAGACAATCCACAAAAGCTTGTTCATGCAAGAGAGAGCCTGCAGAACTGGACCAACCCCGTACTCCCAGCAGCTCAACCAAGAAGCCCGCGGTAGGTCAACGACGGCGGGGCGCTCTTGCCTCTCGATGCCCACACTGCCGCCGCAATAGACTCCTCCCATGTCGCAGGCAAGGAACGTACTCTCCGAGAATGCATGACAGACGCAGGAAATCACTGGTTGGGACAGGGCTCCTGCCACTCCAGCATGTGTGCTGCCAGCTGCGGGGACAGCCGTAGGTCCGACAAAAGCTCCTCAGGAAGCGGCGACAACAATCGACCGACAGACTCACACGCCCACACGCACGCACGCACCTATCTACCTGTCTAGAAAATATCTCTATCTGTCCATTTATTTTGAGAGTGCCTGTGCAGTGCATTCGCAAGCATTAACCATTTGTTCTACGCATGCTTAAGTATGAAGGTCATATATGACTTCTCGGCACTATGTCTTTATCTACCAAGTTAGTTCACAGGCTAGCAGCTCTCAGCCAGTCACTTGATTCAAAGTTCGGCTAGATATCTGTCTGTGCATCTATGTCTGCAACTTCAAGGTATGCCACGTTGTCAACCCACCTTCAGTTGCTGCCTGGATTGGTCATCGGCTTCCACCCAATTTGCTTAAGAACTGTGGCACAGTCCTCAAGCCCGGAAACATTCACCTGCCAGGAGCATACACGAGCCATCAAATCAGGTCCTGATTTGACAAACTGACCAAGGAGAGCACGTGATGAAACAGTCAACCGACCTCTATTCTGGCAGCAACTGCTGCCTCCCAACCCCGAAGCAACAACAAATCCCCTGCTAGGAAGACTCCATCTCCACGAAGTTCTGAACTTCTGCTGTTCTTACACCTGTTGCGATGCATCTGTACCGGACGTGGCAGCTTTGCCACTCACCCTGCCTCGTGGTCCAGCTCTCGCCCACGGCGCTGCAGAGAGGCGGCCACGGCCGCAAGCCGGTTCACCGGCTCTGTGGGACCACTGCTGCCAGTCGCGGTCGTGTCTGCAAGCCTTGCTCCCGAGAAAGACTCAAGGAAAGGCATTTTTCCCCCTGCTGCCAGAGGACTCGAGCGTTGCCCGAATGTCCTCTCGAAAAACATAGATCGGCAGGCAGGCCTCACAGCAGTTCAGCGTCGGAAGCGCTGAGCCAATGACAGCAGATTTTCCATTTCCGATAATGCCTCTGGTGGAAGACGCTGTGCCCGTAGCTGATCCACACGGTCCACGTAGCGGCGAAAGTCCCGATAGGTCAATGCACCTGGGCCGTGCGGTGGGTCAGCCCCTGTACTGTACGTACCTCTCTGCTTTTCGACCCAAATGCCCAACCTGAATACATCTCCAATTACGAGGTTACACAGTCGAACTGACGAGGCCTTTGCATGGTCGTGCTGCGCGCACGTCTCAATCACGTGCGAGGTAGACGTGGACAAACACGAGCTTCTGCACCCTGACTGTGACCGGCACCTATTCCATGTTGGTCACAGAAGCCGTACGTGGCAGCCGCTGCATCGGCACCTGGAGTGCAGGAGGCCATCAAAGTTGCATACTCGTCCATACTCCCTATCGCAGTGAACCAAACCTAAGCCTAAGCCGAAGCGCAGCACAAGCCCACGAATTTGAAACCCACGGTGATACATGTGCGGATCAATGAGCCGGGTGGCCAAAACCCAGACATCTCTGCGCAACGCAGAGCCAGGTCTCAGGTGAAACGCGTCCTGTGGCTTCTGGATCCAAAAGTGCATAGAGGAAGTAGGTCGGCAGCAAGAGACACCTGCGTTGCACCAAGTCTGAGAGGGGCATCAGATCCTACATAGACTTTCGGCTGTTTGCACGGCCCTGCAAACCCGCGAAGATTTGAGAAGATTTAGCCAGAGTCGCAAGTGTTGCTGCAGACCGAAGGTCTCGGACCCTGGCCCGGCTTTAGTCTTCGATTCGTAAGACTGCTAAAGCTTCCGAACATGGATTCCTCGAAGCATCCTCGGACCGAGCAGTGAACATGCATCCGCACACCACCGCAAAGTCCATGGCCTTTCTGCTCGTGCACCCTGTGGTAAAAGCCTTGGAAAGCACACTCAAAGGCAATGCATGGTTGGGTATGCCCACAGTTGAGACGAAAAGCATACCCCCGCCAACGCTGGGGCACCCACAGCATGGTTTTTGCTCACAAGCATTTGGAGGATTGCTTAACAGCTTGATGCATTTCATCTCTCTTCTTTAACGCGTCCACTTTGCGCAGAGTCGCAGTGCTTCCCAGGCTGAGGGCGGAGGGGCTGGAGCTGGAGCAGAAGCACGGGGAGGACGCGCGGACTGCCAGGCCTCGAAGTGCCTGCCAAGCAGATGCTCTCTGCACTGGTCCGAAAACACTCAGCAGTTCGTGCCTGCAGAACTCCAGCAAATCCACCTGGCACCCCTCGTCTTTGGAGAGATGCTCTGCCATGTGGAGAAGATCCTCACAGAACGAGGCACCATCCGAGCATAACAGAACATGACGTGCAAGTCAGCACCTCCGGCAAAGGAAGTCCGAGATGGATGAGGAGCGCTACCATGTCAGTTATCTCCACAAGGCCATCTCCTTGAGTAAAGAATCCGCAACCCATTCCACCCTCGACCCACGGCTCATACTGAGGTGTCGTCGGTTTGTGTCGAGAACGGTGAATGCTTTGCTCACTTCGACACCGGATGCATGCACCTCCACCCCAGCCACTTCACATCTTCAGCCAGAAAGAAAAGCGTATTATACCATATTATATTATAGTATATTGTATTATGTTATATTATAGTATACTATATTATATTATATTATAGTATAGTATATTATATTATATTATAGTCCTACTTTCGAGGCACCACTTCGAAGAGCCGCTGCTGGAGGTTTCCCATCAGCTCCGCTCGCTCTGCCCTGGACAACGGCCCGCTTCTTCAGATGCTAAGACGAGCCTTTTTTTCTTGCGGCCTCGCAGCAGCAGCTCTGGGACCCCAGCCGCGCCTGCGCCGAGAGACCCGGAAATTTCTCTGCCCCTTTGGCTCAAGCCGCTTTCGCTGCATCCGGATGCCTATGTTCACTTCGAGGATCTTCCGCATCCATCGGTCTTGGCAGCTCCAACAGCACATCGTCACAATCGTCAGCTGCGCACCGAGCTCTGGGGCGCAAACTCTGCCAGCAGCTTGGCCAGATCAGTATGCCAGACCGGACCCTCTCGCATGGTAAGTTGCCTCCGTCTCAGCCAAAACTGCAGCCCTTCCGATTCACCGCAGCCGCCTTGCCTGCCGAGCTCGGCTAGGACATCCTTTGGAGCAGCTTCATGTCTCGGCCCGGGAGCGATCTCGAAGACCAAAGTTCTGCCGTCTAATCCTTGAACAACCAGCAGAAACGGAATGCACCAGGTAAGAGCTCAAACCCGTGCCAGGCCGGGTGTTTTCATGCCGAGGTGCTGATGATGCTTATCCGGTCAGGGGAGATCTGCAAAGATTCCGCAAGGTGATGCGCAAAGAAGTGTCTGAACCAAGTTGCAACCTGTCCGAGATGGTGGATGTGGCCATGCTGTGTCGGAAAACAAGGCAGGAATCCTTCCAATCCCTATCAGTTGGTATGAAAGAATGACGCCAATGCAGAGCACCCTCTGAGCGTGGCAAACGCAAGAACCCCAATAACAAAAACCATGGAAGATGCGGCTCTTTCCGATCAAGACACCTCTCTGTCCGACAATGGCGCGGATAGTTCTATGCAGCCTTGAGCAGCAAGCTCTCCAGGAGCCAGCCGATGCTGTTCCGGCTTCTCGGCTTCCCTTGCCACTGCCTTAAACAAAGTTCAGGACCAAGTCGCTGGCAACTAGCCGCTGCCAAAAGGACTCCACAGCGATGATGGTGCAAGAACCGCACAAACCTTTCCTACAAGGACGCGGTGTGCTTTCGACAAGCTGCGACCTCTGTAGAATGTGGACGCCTGCACAATGGCGACGGCATGCCAAGGTGCACAGGGATTCACTGCAAAGTCGTCAAGACAAGCCTGTGCCTCTGCGATGCGAACTCCGCCAAGATCTTCGTGCGAAGGCTTCCGATCGTCTCACCATTGGAGGTTGCTTGCACCGGCAATTCCACGGCCAGCAGGTCTACACCTGATCTGACAGGAAACCCACACGGCGCTGACACAAGTGTGAGACAGCAATCTAACCAGGGCTCGTGATAGCCAGTTCTTGAAACTCCTAACGCGAGCCGCATTCGGGTTCGCTTGTTGCTTGTTTCGGCTCTGTGGGCAAACGTCTGAGGTAAAAATCTTCTCTTCAGCGATGTGCCCCTCAGGATTAGAAGATGGTTTCGATGGCCCAGCAGTCGTTGATGTACCCGATGCTCTGCAAGAAAGGGATAGACCGGATTGGGTGAACTCATCACGCACTGCACGGCACGCGACCGATCTGGTCAGCTGCAGCACACGTGCCATGCCACAATCGAAACTCTGCCGGTCGAGGGCTCGGCAGGGTCGCCCACGCTCCGCAAGCTCATGCATTGCATCCTCAGGAAGAGGAGGTACTTCAAGGCCTTCGTGAAGCATCTCAGCAAAAGCTTACCACTTGTGATGAGCAGTCCCACTCTTTGCATTCGTGGCTTCCTAGCGAAACATGACCCTCCATATGTCCTTAACATTCCTCTCGCCGCCTGCAAGACCCAGAAGCTCTTGCCCACTCCATACTTGGAAGAACAATTTCTCCTCGGCTGGCACCCTGTGCTCAAGGAAATGTCTGACACAACGCATTGCAAGCCTTCTGTCAGGTCGCTGGATGTGGGCCTGCCATGAGGATCTTCCGAGCGCGGTCGAAGCCTTGGATGTCCAATCAACCCTTACCATGAAGGAGCGGGACACGGCGAGCCTTACGTGGCTTGATGCATTCTGGTCTCTCCAAGCTGTGTGCTCCGCTACGGCCATGAATCCAAGGCGGCCGACCAGTTCTCCTCCTTCTGCCTCACCAGATGCAGAGCTAACAGAGATAGACTCTCGTAAGACATAGCCTAGTATAACATATGGTGCTATCATGCACAATAAGACCATAGGGTTGACCACAGGGCAAGTTACTCTCTGGTCGTGCTGGGACAAGTGCGCCACCATTTCCTGCTCCGGCCCCAACTTCAAGACGACGAAGACGCCGTTTAGAGAAGCGAGCTGCAACCGCAGATCTTCAAGCCAAACCTGCTGAGTTGAGGGCGTCAGTATTTCGGAGTAAAAGATTGCATGTTCTGTGGCGGAGTCCGTGAAGCCTCAGGTTCTGGCCTGGGGTCTTTGGGTTGGATCGGACACATGTCTCCGCGGCGAGGCAAAAAAGGTTGCACAAGCGCGCGGGCGAGGCTGAATGTTGCTCGATGTTTCCATCCGATCCTGCAGCGAGCCCTTTTCCTGAGTCGACCTGACGTGCTCCGTCTCCACACACTGTTGTAAATATGTGGATTTCATCTAGTTCCCTGATTTCGAGCAGGGCCCGACGGGCAACTTCGGCATGTGTTCGCCGTTTGTCGGGCTGAAACCCGAATGTCACAAGGGCAAAAGCTCCACGCTCTCCCGAGGGCTTCGAAAGCCAGAACCACAAACCCCCCCTTGCAGCGTCACAATGTCAAGTTCTGTGTTCAGCATACAAGGAAGCCACAGTCCGGTCCCCCGCCTTGAGGTGAACCCCACTGGGCTCCAAAGCACCATCCATCGGCGGGGCCTTGATTTCCTCCGAGCTCAAGGCCAGCGACACCTGGAAACTAACAAGGTTTAGGGAAAAAAGGGTTTAGGGTTTAGGGCCTGCAACACATCATGCCAAGATTTACCGCCGGAGCCCCGAGGGTCTCATGCAGCCCAAGCTGCCGAGATGCTTCCAACAAAGCGAGGGCTTTCGTGTGGCCTTGGCTGGAGACAAGTCTCCCTTTTCCAACATAACCTAAGACATGGTAACAGTGTATCATAGTAAATAATCTCATACTCATACCATATAATATAATCTCACAAAAGACAGTACAACAAAATGCAATGTCAGGAAAGATGTTGTATGGCATGTCATTCAATTTTACACATCATCTACAAATACAGAAATAAATAAATAAACATAAACAAACAAACAAACAAACATACATACATACATACATTCATACATACATTCATACACACATGCGTACACACATGCATACACACACATACATACATACATACATACATACATACATACATACATACATACACACCTATGTTTCATATCTTGCTGTTGAGGATTGTATAGTACATGGTTACATGGCATTATCTGGCATGCTGCTACTGCCGGCCACGGGGCCCCGAGGAAGCCTGCAAGGGCAGCTCTAGGCGCGCGTGCCCCAAGGATTGCAGGACCTGCAAAGCGTCCACCGTACCTCCGCCTCGTTTGGGGCTCGGGTGCCTTGCAAGGTGAGATGGCATACAGACGTGACCTGTCGCCCCGGACTACGGTTCCAGACCAGACCAGAACAAGACTGGGAGGTGGCTGTAACAGAACACGGCCCCTAAACACTAGAGTCTAGCGTGTAGAAACACTGCAGCATCTCTTCCATCTCAAATCTGAAATCTGTGAAACCTGGGGTTTGAGTGCAGCACTTCGGGAGGTGCAAACTAGCTTCGACGACACCAACATTGATCGAACATGCTGGGGTCTCCGAGCCTGCTGCGGCAGCTCGGCCGTGGCCAGAACAACGAGATGTGAGGCAAAGGGCTCCTTCATGGTCCTTGGCCGACTTTCTATTCCATTCCGGCCAACAGCTCGGAGCCGTGCATGAAGCGTAACCCTTACAAGCCCCTAGAGTGAAAGTAACTGAAGTTGAGCCGATCTTCACCAGGTAAAAGACAGGGCGAGAAACTGCAGGTTGCCGAGTCGCTGTACACAGTCGGAGTTATGAGCCGCCAGCAGTTGCAGTCGTGCTGAGCGCAGGGATCGCAGCGGATGCCAGGACATATGGCTGAACACCAGAACTCCATCCCTGCCCGTGCGCCAGAGCATCGGACAGAAGAAGTTGATATCGACCTACAAAGACATGGCAGCTGCTAGAGGATCACAGCCAATCCGAGCCTCGCGGCGCAGCATGGTACGAGAAAAGTTTCCTCCGAGAGGAGAACTTTGAGTGCTAAGTGCTGGCGCTTTCGAACCATCTCCGCCTCAATGCGAAGTTAGCAGGGAGACGCCAAGATAAAGACATCCCCTTTCTGACATGCTCCCAGCTGCAAAACCCGCTGCCAGCTGAGCAGAGTCGATGCAGATCTGCACAGAGCCAGAGCAGCCATGTGAAGCACCGCAACCTCGGCCATTTCGGCATCCCTCAATAGGATAAGTTCTTTTTGTGTATAGCCTACAAATCCAATTCGGCAAAATCCCCAGGCCGCCAGTCCGCCAAGATTGCCGCTCGAGCAGTGTGTGGGACCGCGCTGAGCTGTGGCCTCTGTGGCCTTTGTGGCCACTGTGGCCTCCGGGTAGTCGACTTTGGTCTCAGATCCGGTCGGATCGGTCGGATGGGCCTCGCAGGGCCGGACCCGTGGGGAAGGCAACCGCTTTCCCAACCCAGCTGCGGTCCCAAAACACAACGCTACCTGGAAGGCATCCTTTTTTGCGAAACGAACCAAATCGAACGTACCGCGAACGTGCCGCATTGAATCTCAATCCTTTCACCTGGCCTCTGCTGGCTCCAGCTGGCGGGGAAGTCGCTTCTCCCCCGCAAGCAGCGGATCCGAGGCCTCGATCAGCTCCACCGCCGCGGCAGCCACCCCGAGGCCGCCGAGGGGCGCCTCCGCGATCCCTGCGACCTCCGCTGGCTATCTATATCTATATCTACATCTAT